CGCCAGATAATTTACCATCCCCAAAAAACATTGTAGTTCCTTTCTGTTGGTTGGTTTTTCCATATTGTTTATTGCTTGTACCTTACGTTGATCTGGTTTAATTCCATCAACTGAGATTGTATCCCCCAAGAAAGTAAGCTCTTGAACTCGGATTTCACATTTCTCCATGCGTAGTTTTAGATTGTTTTGCCGTGCAACTTGTAAAACTTGGTGGAGGCGCTGATCATGTTCTTCCACATTGGATCCCCATATAATTATGTCATCCATTGATGTGTCAACTCCATCAACATGTTCAAACATTTGGTGAATTGTGCGGTGGTATATTTCTGGTGCACTGGAAATACCAAAAGGAAGACGTAAATAACGATATCTACCAAACTGTGTGTTGAACGTACACAGGTCTGAACTTTCATTGTCCAAGTTTAATTGCCAAAATCCACTTGAAGCATCAAGTTTGGAAAACACTGTAGCACCTGCAAATCTGGACATAACTTCTTCTCTGGTGGGGAGTTTATAGTGTTCTCTCATAATGGACTTATTTAAATTCTTCGGGTCCATACAGATTCTTAAAGCACCATTAGGTTTGTGCACAACAACCATTGAATTAACCCACTGTGTGGGTCGTTCAACTTTTTCAATAACTTTCATCCGTTCCATGCGGTCTAGTTCGTCTTTAACTTGTTGCTGAAGTGGAAAAGGTATTCGTCGACAGGCATCAATTCTTGGTATTGCATTTGGGGTCAACTGAATATGCACTTGACCAGGTAAGTCCCCAAGACCAGTAAATACATCAGCATAATCAGAAAATATTGGATCACCATTTGGTTGTTTGACTGTAGGTGTGTCTACATTCTCAGGACCTTGTGGCGGCTTCAAAGATATTTTAAGGATTCGTTGTATAAGTCCCATTTTTTCACAGCTTTTTAATCCTAGTATTGGTGTGACATCTTGAGGGCTGATAATAAATTTTAGATAATAACTATGACTGTTGGCATGCACTCTTAAAATACACTCGCCTTTCGTAGGAATCTCACTGCCTTCATATGCAGTCAACTTGACTTTAGTTGGCAGTAACTTGGGTTGATCTTTCAAAGTTTTGAAATCGTTGAAGCTCAGGATGTTTACATCAGAACCAGTGTCCAGCTTTAGAGGAATAATAGTGTTATTTACTAGCAAGGGAGTGATCCATACATTTTGGGGGTCCTTAATATTTGTTGTTGATTTCACTGCATCCACAATAAAATCCTCGTCAGACATTACTGAAGTTTGTTGCTGCTCGACTGTTTCCACTTTGGTCTTAGGTTTTTCACTTCGACACATTTTCTGAAAATGATTAAATCTGCCGCAGTTATGACAGATTCTGCCATTCGCCGGGCAGGATCTTGATCCATGTGTATAACCACACCTGCTACAAGTAGATGGGGGGTCTCGTTTCTTGGTTTCAAATTTCGATTTGTCCATGCTGCTGCTTGGGTTGCCTCGCGTATTTCCGCGACTACTATTCACTTGATCAACGTTGTTGAGATCACATGTGTTTGACAACGATTTCATTCGAGCGGTGGCCGCTTCGTCTGCTCTACAAATATCAATGCATTTTTGCAGGTCAAGTTCACTTTCGCGTAAGAGTCTTGCCCGTACTTTGTCGCTTTGGATGCCTTCCACGATTTGATCTCGCAGTAAGTCGTCGGCTAACTGCCCGTAACTACATTTTCGTATTATAATTTTAAGATCTGTTAGGAAATGATCGAATGTTTCATCCACGTGTTGTTTTCGACTATGGAATACATGTCGCTCGTACGTAAGATTTTTCTTCGGCGTACAGTAAGCCTCGAACTTATGAATAAGAGGCTCAATCTTGTCGATTTCACTTTCTGTAAACGTAAAGGTATTATAAATTTCAATCGCTGTCTCTCCTGCTAAAGTTAAGAACATTGCACACTGAAGCTTTTCCGATTTCCTGTTCTTCTCCGTGGCGGCCATAAACAACTTGTATTGCTGGAGCCATTTTCTCCAGTTCTCCGCGACATTTCCTGTGAAACTGAGTGGTTTTGGTGCAGGTATCGACGATGCCATCGTAGGTTCGTTTAGTAAGGTTTAATTACTCCTGACACCATGTTAAGTTATTATTATTCCTTTTAAGCTATAGTTCACACTAGTATGACTACAAGTAAAACATACAAAACTCTCTCGTCCCTGTCCCACGAGGCTGCCCTCGTTTCCATGCAGTCCGTATTACGTCATATCATTACAGTTCCCAGGCCCCTTGTGCCAATTTTATAAAACAGCTTTATTCATGGTACTATAAGAATAAAATAATGTCAGAAGTATGTGTACCATACCTATGCATGCCAAAAGTTTACTTGCATGATAATAATTCGAAAATGACATACACATAGATAAATGCAACTAGTTATTCAAAATCAGTGTAAGGGGCCTGGGAACAACTGCGTTGCCTTGCCAACAAAATTAGAAGTATTTTCCCATGTGTCTCATCATGTACTATCTGTATGCAAAATGTCATTTGATTTGAGCCAATAATAACTGAGCTATGCTTCAGTTTACTATTCATTAAACATACTTACCCTACCAATGACGTCACACGTTGTGCTGAATCAGCAATTTATATTTTGCACATTTTTGCGTATAACTTCGGAACCAGATGAGATAGAATAGAGCAGTAAACGGCCAATCGACTTATTTTTTCATGCTCTTTCAGATAAAGCAATAAAAATTTTTATTGCCATTACCCTTTAATCTCGGTTTTGATAAAGTTTCAAAAACTAAGCAGAGTCCATCTAATCAAAGGGTTAACAATACTAACATTCAGGTTATTTGCTTTGCTCAGTTCAAAATATTGTTTTAATGCCGCACCCATGGATTTAGATTCTGGTAACTCAATCGATTGGTGTGCACATGCGCAGACAGCGTACCCCGGTACATCTTTTAAACTACATGTAAATACAATTTGAATTTATACCCAAATCATACTTCCTTGAGATTGGAAAAAAACATAAAAACCAAGGTTTAACTACAGTTTTAAGACCAATCTAAAGAAGAAAATACAATAATTTTTACCAAATAATATTTTACAGTAATGGAAAAATTGTCTGCTAAAATACGTTTTTCAACCTAAGCTAAAACTCGCCTCCTTAAGAGGCAAACGTGAATTTAGCGGGTTTTGGTAGTTTAAAGTGCGCTCTTTCAGATGGCATACAGTGTAACTGTTTACTAGTACTGTTTACGTGGTCGGATACATTCCACATTTTTTTGCTTGAAAGACAAAGGTTGTAAAATTCTCAGAAATCACAACATTAGTTTATTGCTTACAATAATGGGTACTCTGTTGCGATATGACTATTCTGATGTGATTTTCAGATAACTCGACACAAAAAGACTTAAAGTACGAAATTTTAGGGAAATAAGGAAATACAGAAAAACGTTTATAAGTTTCTGAAGTTAATTAAACTATTATTTCGGGAGTGGAATTGAAGCAGGCAAACACCATAAAATCAGGCAATTTTTAATGAGCTGTAAATCAAAAACTGTTTGATATTGACTTCAAATTTTGTACACTATACAGTCATTTGTACTATTGTCTACTGTACGTCACTTGGCGAACCCATCACAATCACCACGCGACCACGACGTTTCCCTGGCAACAGATTACGACAATGCTCGGCAACCCACTTGTAGTTTTTCTTCACAACTGCTAAACCTTTGTCAGTGACTACCAGCACTCACTACCTTCATCTCTCGGTATACTTGTTTATCCCGCATCAAACGTCGATCACCAGATGGCCAGAGTGTTATCCACAACATCTGCAAGCAAGATCTCTCCCGTTCTGGCATTCACACCAAACTCAACTTTCTTATCAACTAGTGTACAGTCAACTGTAGCCCAAGCTTTCTCGAGGATTTCAAATACAACAATAGCAGTCGATGTCATCAGTTCTATCTCACGTTCTCCGACAGTAACACCACCAAATTTTAACTCAGCTTCAATAATCTGCTCATGTGACCACTGAGGATCGTGATTTGCATCATCTTTGAAGAAGGTCTCCATTTTCGGAGGAGAAAAGCGATAACCTTCTTTTACTCCAGGATTACGTTTCAAAAGTGTTCCGGTAACTGGGCGACGGCTGACAACTTCCAACGGAATCATGTCACACTTGACAGCAATGAAAGATGTATCATCATGTTTCGAGATGAAATGGGTCCTCACGCCACATGCGTTGAGCAGTTCAAAAATTGTACATGTTGTATCGTTGCTGATTGCACTCTTCCCTTCGATCTCGTGTATGCGCGCCCCATCCCCAGCGGAAATCTTGTCTTTAGACCGGAGCGGAACGTGGTCAGCATTCGGAGACTTTGGTAAATCGAAAACAAATTTTGTCTTACTTTCATTAAATTTTTCACCAATGACCAATGGTGCTGAAAATTCAAAATAGCAAGTATAAATTACCTCGGTAAAGTTGGATGATACGACACCATAGTTTTCAGAATTGTATCGATATTAAAAACATGCAGGCATGCGATATACTGTGTACCTGGACTCCCGGAACGAGGGGGATTCAGCGAAATAATACCTAAAGGTGATGATAACCATTCACCAAAATTTAGAAACTGTCCAAGTTGAGAATAAATTTGCTCATATGTAAAAACGGTTTTATTTTTTATTTACGCGAGTTTTTCCTGCTTTTTAATAGACCATTTGAGTATGTTACCCTATGGATCGTTGAAGGTAACATTCTTCATTATATAAGCTTTCTTTGACGCTTAAAACCTTCTTGCAAGCGTGATCGCCACGCGTGGTTTTCGCGAATCATTTACCAGGTCACAGAGTATCATAGCAGAGTACATACGACACAGAGGTGGAAATTGTAGTAAGCTTTTCTCTTTCAAGAGTCGTGGAAAACAAAATTTTCTGGGGTGTGCAACACTTGAGACTGATAGGTTTCTTAATATGTAAATTTTATTTGCCGTCAACATCAAAGGCTTTGCTAAACCTAAAGCAAAAACGTTGGTTTTAACTTGGTAAACGTTGGTATGGAAGAAATGGTGCAACCAAGCATGAAAAGGACTCTTGAAGGAGAGAAGCTTACTACCATTGATCATCAGCCTGGAAGCACCATCAACACCAGGAATTTAACCAACAATCACCTCTCCTGTGTTGAGGCATCATCACGCAAGGCCAACAAGAAACTGCTTCATTAGATAGCTTAAGATCTACGATGTCGACGCCAGCTAGGACGTCAGGGCTAAGCAGAGGACTGGGACTAGGACGTCGTCCTGAATAAGTCGATAGCTCAAGTATCTACGACGTCAAATATTTAGGGCGGCAAGCAGAAGTGAATTGGTTATAGTTTTTGAAGTATGCATGTGTCTCTCTCAATTTGCTCGTCGTTCACCAAACGTCGCCAACCTCACAACAAGAGTTTTACCGTCGTAAATACCTGTACAAGAGCATAACAAACGGTAATGGGTTCACACGGCTCTTTTAAATTCATTTTCAAAAGTATGTACATTTTTATAGTTTAAATGTCTAAGTCGTAAAACTTAATATATAAGTGGAAGTTTATTTATTTAGGACGACGTCCCAGTCCTATGCTTTATAGCTGTGACGTCCTAGCTGGCGTCGACGTCGTAGATCTTAAGCTATCTATTGTGTCAAGTATGGCGTTCGTTAAGCCGGCCATTTCTCGGTTTTGATAAAGTTTCAAAAACTAAGTAGAGTCCATCTTTTCAAAGGGAAGCGAAATAGAAAGGCGCGGCAAGAGAATTTACAGTATCACTTCCATTGCTGACACGATAAGTGAAAAGGTGGCACTTGCCAAATATGCGCGTATGTCAAGGAATATCTGAAGTGAAAAATAAGTTTTCCGTATGAGAGTGGAACAAGGAGTTTGTAATGAATGCTACAGTACTTTGTGACATCTTTAGCTGAGATGGATGACTTGGAGGGTCAGACGCTGATTCCATCAAGAAAGGCGTTGGCTTTCAGAATCTACAAGAGAGTTCAGACCCAATTAAAGGATCTATGGTTGACATGTATTTAACTGGCTGTGAAAGATGCTATGAATGCTCCAGTTGTCCCAAAAGCCGAGCAGCTTTACACCTGACAATCTACATACAACCTATTGAAAGAATCTGGTACCCTAAAAGAAAAGGTTAAGAAACCTGCCACAAGTCTCGATATTACTGTGCTACAACTGACAAGTATCTATGGCACACACTTTGTCAGCCTTCGAGACAAAGCATCATGGCCTACTTCATTGGTCTTCGAGGAAGGTGTAATCATGATCCATCGGTGATTTGCAAGACCGAAAGATGTCGTTGATGTTGACAGCATTCTTCGATATATCAAAATGGAAGATGATAGCAGTGTCGTTGAAGCACGTAAATATTGCAGGTGACAGGGAGTCCCATGCTTGCTACGCGTAGACAATAGTCGGTCATCTTTTTTGTGGGACAAAAGCTAAGAATGCTTCCCGAATCCCGCGTTGCTATCTTTGAAGCTCGTTTTGACGATTTTAGCAATTCCGTGTTTATAAGTCCATGCAGTTGCTAGGTACTAAATTTTGGAATTCTTTGGCAACAAGGAATCTTATACCATGTCTTTAATATCACTGTAATAATTAATTAACAGAATGCACTAAAAATGCACTAAATATGATGGAAAGATGGAAATTATTAAGACTCTGCCGGGAAACTGGTCGGTGCTGAAAGTTCAATAATGCATACCTCATGTTCGAAAAGTTAATAGAATTGCCATAATATATGTAATATAGTTAAAGTTTGCGAGTTCACGGCAACCAGGTTTAATATCAGTCATGTTTTCGCCCGCTAATCCGATTTTTAAATAAATTTTACATTCACATTCGTGTCAACATTTCAGTTTAGTGTCTTTATCACTCATCAGGAGTGACCTGAAGTCGCAACACGGAGCTTCTTACAGTATACACTCGAGAGATGACGTCATCTGCCAACAAGGTGCAGATCATCTCTATTCAAAGCATGATTTTACTTTGACCCTATCCTTGGCCATTTTCCACAATGGTATTCACCTTGGGAAAGTGTAGGACTTTTGAGGACAAGGTTTGGGAGCAGGGGCAACGATGCTAAGCAACCTGCTGCCAGATATTCACAGTGTTTCCGATACAAAGATTCGATATATCCCTGTGTCCCATTTCTGGTAGCAATGATAGCCTCAAAGACATGAAATGTGTCTCATTTCCAAACTTGGCACGGTCCATCCCATGGTATTATTGAGCGTTTTCCCCATGCTTAATTTCATCCGCTATGCCTGACTTCAACAGCAGTGTGCCTTATATTTATTTGTCCTCGTACATTCCATGTATATTCCTTTATTATGATTTTGCAGTGTGATTTACATTTTTGTTTACATGCACGTCCATCTGATTTTGTTTACACAGCCTCTCGTAACATTTTTCTAGAATGAATAACCTGTTAAACTTACTGACTTCTCCCCTCCGCCTAAAATATGAACTACTGTGTCGTAAAAAAGCTGGTATGAGTTTAATTATTTATGAAATTTGAGGCGTAAAATGTTTGCAGCGGTTAATTTTCAGTCCCAATGAAATTGTCAAATATATTTTTGTGTAGCCATTATCAAATCACCTGAATACAGAGAAAGAACTGATGAAACATATCGAGCACAGGTGATATGATTATACATAGTATACTGTAGTTATGTCCAATCGTAATGTTGTGCTTGTTTGAGCACTCCATGGCATTTTAGGCATGTCTGGATACGCAGATGTCATTCTGTTGTACCGCGTGCTTTAGGGACGTTCAGATTTTGACTTCCATTACCGTTGCCGCTACCATTAACCAATCAGGTGCGTTTAATCTACCGGATTTAATCTACCCAATGAAATGCGTTTAGTCTACCCGATTAACCAATGAGAGTATTAAACCAGTGAGAGGTAGTGGTAGTGGAAGTCAAATTTGAACCTCTATTAATTGGTGAAACCAATTTCCAGATAGGACTAATAAGCGGTTGAATGAGGGTGAGCAATGGCTGCACTAGCCTGAGATCAGACTCTATTTACAAATATAGCCTGACACAAACCTTAATCCGATAGCTTTCCACCCACAGCAAAGTTTATATTTACAGTAGTATCCAATCAAAATGTCGCAGGAGAAATTTAAATTCCACACAAAAACGACAACAATCTAATTATAGTTGTGATCACTATGTATCATCAACAATAGTATATAATCTAATCAGCACCATGCAACCAATCAAATAACAGATTAAAAAATCTTTTGTCTCATAGACCAATCAATTTACAACCGAAATACGGTTGTAAGGCATGGACTTTTTGGACGTATCAGGCTTATTTATTTATAGGTCTGATCGCAGGTTATGGCTCACGTAATGACAGTACCATGGGCGGTGAAACGGCTATGGCGCCCCTGATCTATGTGTGATCCTGCATATACGTAACATGTCCTTACAGGGTACAATCGTTTCTTGACCTTGAAAAAGGCACATAACAAAAGACCCGTGCATGCACATGTGTATTATTTAGGCACGCATACTTGATTCCGAGGCCTGTGGAATGATGAAATTTAGTGGAAAGAAATCCCCCATCTGCTGGTTTCAAGTTTCATTGTTTTGAACAATGTTTGCAGCAGACATGTGTCATTGACTCTTGTTGTAGTACTGTTTGTGCGCGAAAAAAGTGCCTTAAGTCGCTGAGGAGCGTTTTTTGTGAAGCACCTTTGTTTTGGTTTCGGCAAGGCTAAGGAATTGTTTACGGTATACGGTATACGAGTTATAAAAAAAACCCCAGCTAGATACATAGATACAAATTAAGGTTTTCAGGAAAACAGTAATTCAATTGAATTGTATTTTGTCGCTTGTGTATACAAGGTTTTTACTAGTATGGTTACTTCATGGGATGGTAAATCATAGACGGATTTTCATATTTTTTACTGGGGTGCTGCCAGAAATTTTAGGGGGGTGAGCCGTGAGCAGGTGACTGAAGCAACACAAAGTGTCACCAAACCCCAGTAAGGTCTATAGATTCTAGGGGTAGAGCACTAGAGCCGCGAGGGGGAGTCTAGAGAGCAGAAAACAAAGTATCTCTGGAAAAATTTGAAAAAAATCATGATTTCTAGCTTCGAAAAAAAGTTTTTTGAAGTTGTCATATCAATGGATTTGGCATGTCCGACTGTCTGTTGAGACTTGAGAGAGTTCAAGTTAAATGAACCTGTAAAAGTGTAAACCCAATAGGGCAATACACAATATGCTTTTACTTTTATAAAGTCATTGACATTGTGTCGTTTGAATCCGAGTACAATTTATTATGATGCAACTCCGATGTAAATAATATTTGGGGCGTAAAGATTAAATCTAGGCAAGTCTATTTCCCAAAAGAATTAAAAACTAAAAATAATGTTCGTAAAAATTCCAAACGTTCCTTGCAAGCAAGCTATTTGCATGACAAGGCACTGCAAACTCTATCAGGGGAGATAATAGAGTTTTAAAACTTTACAATTGCTCCAATAAACCAGTGAATGCAAGCGAGGAGCGATTAGTTTCAGAGTATTGCACTGTCTTTTTCTATTTGAGTGTACTCCTACGTTTATTTTGTATCATCAACACTCTGCACGTTGGGAGTGGACTATTTAATTATTTTTTATTATGCCGAATATATTGGGGGGGTTGAAATTTTTTTTGGAGGGGTGGACATTTTGTTTGGGGGGGTTATAGCTAATATTGGGGGGGTAGCACCCCCCTGCACCCCCCCACAAAATCCGTCTATG